TCTGGATTTTGAAAATTCATCTGGCCTTTTCGTGGATATAAAAACTTTCAATGAATTTTTTGAGGATTTGAAAGCATCTCTGTAGATTTTTTGGAGGATTTAGAAAGTTTTACTAGATTTTTGCGAGGTTTTTGAGTTTGATATCTAGTAACACTAGTTAAAACGTGAAATTGCAAATAATAATACATATATTGGCATAAAAAAATGTATTTTCTAAAATCTCCCTTGGGGGGCTCAAAAATGTCCAGGCGGGCTGATCACCCTTTAGTCCTGCCCTGGCTCCGCCACTGATATAAACTATTACGTCGAATGTTAATTTTTAAAAAAATTCGCAAGAATCATGAATTCATTAGAGATATGATATTTTAAATATAAAGCCAGTGTCAGAATTTTTAGTAGGGTAAGTCTGCGAACAAATTCATTACACTGATAGGATTTGAACAACGTTAAAACTTAAAGTATATGTTTAATATTAACGGATGCACAAGCGCAATAATTGGGATCTATCAACGATCATATGCCTAGATAAAATCCGTATTGATTTAACATGAACAAAATAATATCATTTCAAACAGACTTTCATTGTAAGAAATAGGTCAGTATTTATCAGTGAAAAAAGAAACACTACAAAAATATTCATGCTATTAAAAAATTAACTACTGATATGTATATCAATTATGATGACATAAAATATCTATTTTTGAACGTTTAGTAGTATTCTTCCACAGAAAGTCATCATATAACCTAATGATGCTACCCATGTTGCGAATACCGGATCAATTTTTGCGGTAAACCGCGGTATTTATCCGTTCTGCGGTAATGGGAGCCGGTAACCGGACCGGTAAAACTGCGGTTAACCGCCGATTTTCATGCAGTTTTTATTACATGGGTAGCGCTTCGGTTTCTGTTAGACGATAAAAGAGTAATGTAAATGTACTGATTGAGAAAACAAATCACTCTGATCTAGATCACAGTTGATTTATACTTTCAAATATTATAGATTCCTTCAGGAAAAAGAAGAAAGTACAACCGCTGCCGCGCCGCTACCGCCATGGACATCTATGGTATATATAATATACAATATGAACAATTTTCTTTTCCTGAGTCTATCTTTTTAAGTAACAGCAACATATGTAGGAAGTAGAATTTTGTTTTTCGTTTGTTATTTTATTCACAATGTGAGTATGTCCATTGCAAACAGTAGAACAAAAAAATCAAACTAACTATTTTGTTCTTTCTTGTTTAGAAAAAAAGATAGGTATGGCATCAAGTACTCACGCTCTAATAACACTCAAGTCTTCACATAGACGAAAATCAAATAAAAGTTGTAATGAATAATATTAGAATAAATGACGTTGTTCGATTTTTTTCTTGCTTACTGTTTGTTTACCCTTCACTCAACTTTTAATTGTAGCTTAGTTCAATTTTTGGCGAAATATCTATCGCTACAAATTTAACTGTTGTTTGTTTTCTACGAAGTGTTGGTCTTTCTGATTTAAAGGTTCAAACTAATTTCTTTTCTAAAGACACGCATCTGCTAAAAGCTCAGATATTATGTGTTGTAGTTCTTAAAGAACATATATTCTGATCTTCACCAAGCTGTTGATCACTTGTAGGTATTTCATAGTATCTTTGCATATTTAGAATTTCTTTCGTTGATACTGATTTCGTATCTTTAGGGTGTGGGTATGGATGTGTGTAAATTCCATTGGTACACCCACACCCACACCCAATTTTCACTTACTGTTCAATGAAGAATGAAAATAGAAAAGAAAAGAAAAGAAAACGATGGTATCGATAATAAAATTCCATTAGTGTGTTTTTGTTTTTCATAGTTACATTTTAAGAAGAAAGAAGCAAAACTCTGGTTATAGTTTTATTTACGCATCAGAAATAAAATGCAATCATGACGCTTTCTTCGTTACGTTATAGGTTATTTCTTAATTTAATACAAGTATATATGATATGACTCTCGTGCTTTTGATAGTATCGATAGTTTTGTGATGAACATATAAATTCAGCGACTTCTAATTCTTATGAAACCTAAATGAATTATTATTTTTTGATAAATCGAAGAGGTTCTTTCCATTTTTAGATTTATTATTTATATATTTGATATAAGTAAAAAGTCATTATCAATTTTATTCTCAATCAAAATTCGAATTCAAACTATTCAGATCATAGCAAAAGTCATGATTATAAATAAAATTNATCTGAGAAAAATAAATTTTTTTATTTATACAACTTTTATAAATCAAATATAAAAGTGTACTAAACATCCTTCTAATACCATCTGATGATTAATTCAGAGGAGATTAATTATATTATGACTCATACCGGTAGAATTTAAACAAAACAAAATTTATTATTATTATACATAAAGCACAGGGTAATCATTTACCTATAATTTCTTTCATTCATTCAATTCAATTTAATAGTAAAATCTTTTTTCCTTTTAAATATATTTTATTTTATGAAACACGAGCAGGGAAAAAAAAGAAATTCAAATAATTTTATTTCGCGCATTCCAATCTCAACTGAAATTCTCATGTCAACTGTGACATATATTTGATATAAGTAAAAAGTCATTATCAAATTTATTTTCAATCACAATTCGAATTCAAACTATTCAGATCATAGCATGAGTCATGGTCATAAATAGAATTCAGCAACTACTATCTCACAATTACTGTGACAATAAAACATCTACTCTCTCAATACATCTTTTTTTATGACGTATTACTCAATTACGATCAATTTTCATCAAATCAAGTGTCATAGACGAAAATATTTCTAAAATATCCAGTGAAAGATCATATATATGTTATACTTATCAAATTCCAAACTTAAGATTATGCCAATAAAGAAAATTTTACTACCTAATCAGTGGCAGAGTTTACATGAGTTTTCATATGAAATTTGTCCGATGATAGATTGATAGACACATATTGTTGTTATTCTGATGAAAATTCAATCTTTATTTTTGTCTTCGTCTACTTTTTGGAGAATTAATTCATTTTCATAATCAAAAATAACCGAGATCTTTTTCTCACCAAAACGAAAAAATAAACCATGCGAGAAAGAAACGAAAATGGCAAAGAATAATAATACAAGAAATGGCGTTGTTTGCTTACAAGGATATTCTCAAGAATGAAATTTTTAGATTTGAGAGACTGCAGTAATTAGTATGCATTAATAATACTTTTCTTCAACGAAACGACTTATCTCACTCGTTAATACTCTGTCTGTTATTGTTATAGTTGCTGTAGACATCGAGTTGTGAAAGTCGAAAACAACGTTTATTTCGAATTCATTATAACTCTATTAATATTTTCCGATAGTATCATGCAAATTGTTGGATTCAACAATGTATTCCCATATGTTCCATTACGATAGAAAATTCGCAAATAGGCGTAAATATAGGTAACTAGAATGGTCTTGTTTGTTCTTCTTCATTTATTAAATGTTTTAATGCATATACATTATAAAAAAAATTGTTGAGAACATTATTTTCTAAGAAAGAGTTCACTCAAAAAGAAACTATAAGAAATGAATACAAGTTCATATGGTTAAATGTAGATGAATGAAAAAAAAAGTTAACATGAGTATCAAGTAAAAGAAAATGAAAACTTAAATTGAATTGTTCTACGCATGCAGCTTGATAAATTTAAAAGCAAAACATATAAATAAGCAATTCATTCTTCATTTGCTTATTCATTGATACATATTTTTCTTTTTGCACTGACTGTTCGAAGTTTAGTCATTATGATAGTATGAAGCCAAATCCAGTTTCAAGTCCATATTGCTTCTAAAGAGTACTGAAGGTCAATATAAGATGACAAATAAACATTAATATTTTTTGAATTAGAAAAACTTCATGAATTTTACCTTGATGATTTGAGAGAATCAAATAAATGATCTGTTTTACTTAAGATAGGCCCTTTTATATTTCTCTATTGAGCAATTATTGTTGGAATTTGACAACAACGAACTAGAAAATTTAGATAAATATCTGTCATTGACCAGGTTTTCACCAACTGTACGAACAATTGATACTTGTACACACTACCATCACTGTGGCATAGATGCAAACGCAAATTCGTCGTAGTTGAAGTAGTTTGCTTTTTCTATCTCAACTAACGTTACGACACAGTTGCTAAAACGAGTGGTGACATTGGTTGTAAAACTACTCTAACTTCATATTTTCACTCAGTACACACATACAGAAACGAAAAAATCATAATAAAGTAGCTTTGGCAAATATTTGTTCGTTAATGATGTGTTTTTCTTTGTCAATACATTTTTTTCCTTCCGCGGAAAAATGTCTTCAAAATAGAAGTCTTCAAACTGATTTATTATTTTTTAATAATATTGTGGTAATCTTTATATGTAAATAAAAAATTCTAGTTGACATTGTGACTCATGAATATGATGAAAAACAATTCAAATTTATCTTTTTGACATGTATCAAAAGGAATTTGTTTTTCATAATTTTATGCATCGTCAAGATTGAACTAGTTTCTATAAAAAAAATCTGCATAAAACATGAAGATGTTTTCCTCAGCATTGTAAATCGAAGGTTGAACTAATAAAGAAATTCACATTCATAATGAAAAGAGCAAAATGAATGAATGAATGAATGAAATCTTAGAATTTTTTTCGTTCTTACCAAAAAGAGAAGAATAAACAATGAGGTAGACGAGGCATCAATTATAATGTCACTTGAGTTTTCATCTAGATGAAAAAACAAATCGAAGTTGGAAAGAATAACAATACACGAAATGGCGATGTTGGAATTTTTTGTTCGTTCCTTTGTTTACTGACTACTGTATTTTCAATTTTGAAACTAGGCGGAGTTTCTCGTTGTGTAAACGAGACAAAAAGCACTTAGATTATTTGTCGCCGAAAAATCGAGAAAAAAATAAAAGGTACCCACTATATAAATAGCAAAAATTCGTTCACAATTCACGACTTCGATCACGCAGCCATACTTACACAATATGGGCGGAACAAATCCGAAGCCAACTATTCCAGCATCAACAGCTAATAGTGCTTTGGGTATAACAACAACATCAGATGCCATATCGCCAAGACGCCGTATGATTCAAAACTATTTGGTTATTTGGGTCGATGGCAACATTGATCAAAATACTGCAGATTGCCGAAACACATTGGAGCAACTACGCGCAGTGGTCCGTGAAGTGAGTATTTGCACAACACCAGCTCAGTGCATTGAATTTCTTAATGAAATGAATGACGAAAAAGCGTTCATCATTTCATCTGGTGCATTAGGAGAAACTCTTGTAAATGACATTCACAGCATACCAAAAGTGGATGCCATTTATATTTTTTGCGGCAACAAAGCGCGTCATGAGCCATGGGCGAAAGATTGGCCAAAGATTCGAGGTGTTTTCACCTCGATCAAGCCAATATGCGAATCGCTGAAAAAGGTCGCCCATGAGTGCGATCATGATTCGATCCCGATGAGCTTCATTCCGAAGCAAAAAGTGGCAGAAGGGGCAGCAGGCCCGAACCAAAAAAATCTTAACCAATTACCGCCAATTTATATGTACTCGGTAATTTTCAAGGATATTATATTAGAGATCGATGATGCCGTCTCTAAATCTATGAACACCTTAGTGAAATTTTGCCGAGAAAAAAGTATTCCTGAACAGGAAATAAATGAATTTAAGCGTAACTACCACCAGAAATCAGCAGTCTGGTGGTATACCAAAGAGATTTTTCTCTATGGTATGCTTAATCGTGGGTTAAGATCGCTTGATATGGAAACGATGTCCAAATTAGGATTTTTCATTCGAAAACTGCATCTGGAACTGGAACAATTGCATAAGGAGCAGTCGGCAAGTTTCAAGAAATCTTTTACCGTTTATCGTGGTCAGGGGCTCAGTCAACAAGACTTTCAAAACCTAATGGATTCAAAAGGTGGACTATTTTCATTCAGCAATTTCTTATCGACTAGTAAGAGATTATTCGCATATGTCGTTTCTTCTTCGGCATATATGAATATTTTGAATTTGGTGAAGATAGTAAAAACTGATGTGACTAACAAAGTTAAATTACTGAACTTTTCAAACTATTTACTATGCTAAAATTAACTGTGTACTGAGTAATTAAATGATACATTTAGAGAACGGCATGTTCTATCAAGAGTTTTAGTACTAACTTCAAGTATAATTAATAATTGATCAATTGAACGGGATCCATCTTTAACAAATGCAAAAACTTTTTAGTGTAGAACCAACAATATGTTTAAATTTATGAACTTCTTGTT